AGGTAGGTGTAGACAAAATTAAGTATATTACAACATATACTGCAAATGCTATTTTAGAGTTGACTAATGATAAACTTCAAGAAATCATGAGTAATTGTTCACTCTGTAAATATTCAAAGGAATTGCATTATATATTATCAAAAGATGAGTCTTCGATTTTTGAAATTTCAGCAAAGAGTCCAACAAAATTTAGCTGAGATAAGCAAATTAATCGCATCTATTTCTATTATATATGCCTTTAATTCTTTAAGTAATTCATCATTCACACTTTAAATCACTCCATCTGAGGCAGAAAATAATATTGATTATGATGATGTGTATTTTGATGATCTTATACCTTCGTCAATGAAGAAAGAAACGAATGAAGTTAAGATAAATAATAATAGTAACTGTAGTCACGACAATGATGTTTGCTTAAAGCAAACGATACCAGATGATTCAGATAATAATGGATATAATAGTTACAGTAGATATAATGAATATAGTGAATGTGATAGAGGTTATTATTGTTATGATGAAAGATATGAAAGGAAAGTTTCACCAATGATGAGTCCTATTATCTCATTGGTAACTATCTAGAAGAATTATTAGGCGAATCAATTACTTACTTAGACTAAATTAAGTGAAATCGTATATTTCTTTTTTGATTACGTGGATGGCTTAGATAGCTTCTTTTAATATCTTGCAGTAAGACATTACTGCTTCACTAGTTCATGTGAATTATATCTACAGAATATTCTATGCATAGTAGTATGTCACTAGCATCTGCAGTCATAAGATCTATTAATAACCTGGCTAAAAGCAATATTTTTATATCTATACTGATGAATTTCTCTAGTGTTAAGCTGAAAGAAATTCTGGTATATTCTAACTCACTTATTACGCAGTTCTGAATTACTAATAAAAAAATCATATTTCTGATTTACATTTTGCAGATCGTAAGATAGAGTGTTGATAAAAAGAAATTTAAAAATAAAAATAAAGCTGATTAGAATCAATTATTTACAGATTCTCAGATAAATGATATATTTTTATTATTCTACTAATGTTAGTACATATAAATTACGTCTATAAGCTAATCAAATCTTAATCCATTTTTTGAATAGGAATTAGCAGTACGTAATTTAGCATGGGTGATTTATTATTTACTATTTTTACAGATCTCGATCTCTCGATTCACAATAAATATTTTTAATTCTGATTTTTGTAATAGGGGCATATCGACAAATATAAATAATAGACAGTAGATATATTCATTACTCTATTAGTATAAAATTACAATATATCAGTTTAGCATATTCATCAGATTTTACTTTTAGCGCAATTTTTTAACCTGAAAAGAAGGGGTCATATCAAATTAGCAGTATATTTTATTAGATAAGCTATTGATATTTACAAATCGTGAGGTACAAGGAGTATAAATTTGCTCTTAATAACTTTATTCTTAGAATAGCTAATTTTTCGCAAAAATATTCATGTGGATTTGTCTAATAATTTTTTATAAATACTCTACCTATTTTTTCCTTTTGCAATTCGATTCTTATTAAAGAAAATATTTATTGTTAAACAACTTTAAATTGAACTGCATTACAAATAAATAGAACTCCTGTCTTCTTATATACTCAAAGCAAAAAAAAAATATTTTTCCTTTACCTTTAGTCTATATACTATAAGCAGTTTACTGAAGTGAAAAATGTTTTGCTGGGTATATATTATAGTATTATAGTTCTTTCTTCAATCTACAGGTATCATTCTTTAGATACAAATAAAATAAGTAAATAAGAATAGGAGAATAGACTTTATATATTGTAGCATATTTATATACTATACATATATGAATTCCAGAAGGTCTAATGAATATTTCAAAAAATTTTATTAATAAAAACTTTTCTTTTGCATAAGGTCTCACAGTCAAGTATTTACAAAAAATATTATTATTATTATTTATTATTTGAAACATGTTATAAGAATATAGGGATACAAAAATGCACTAACTTTTTTTGTCTTTAGGTACAAGCATCACTCTGAATCTTAACAATTTTTTTTTCAGAAATAGGGGTATAGATATGATATCATTTTCACAATTATTCTAGGCCTGTATTTCAATGTGAGTTCTCTCTTCTAATTATACTAGCATTAATGGGTAATTCTTTTAGAATCCTTGCTATGGAACTGACTGTAAAATATATAAAAGGAATGTGAAGTCATCTTTAGCTTTACTAGCGATAAATCATACTAATAAATCGTAAAAAAATTATGCAAAATTACTTGTGATCCCAACATACCTGAACATATTTTTTTCTATTTTATTCTAAAAATATGTCTGCACTCATTTTGCAAAACAATGCCTTGTGATATATTTTTGAAGACTTTATAGCTTCTATTCTTCTTAACGTCTATTTTTGATTTATGTTACTAGAAACTAATTCTCCAATTACCCTCTTACATATGATAATAAAATTGCTAATGAGCTTTCTGCATATATAGCTGAAATTAATGATATTCTTACCGCAGAAATTGAAAAAAATAAAGCACATGATAGAAGTATTACTGAGAAAATCAAAAGAATCCTTAATGATGCTTACAAAAAACTTAGCACAGAAGTTAATACTAAATTGTTAGCAAACTTTTCGCATGCCTTTCTGAAGTTAATTCTTCTTTTACTGTAAAGCTTGTGAGAAATAATAATGAACTTAATAAGAAACTTACCAGAGAAATTGCTAAAATTAATTCACGTGATGCTAGCTATGTCTCTGAAGCACAGAAAATTTTATTAATAATCGATAATGTGACCATAAGACTCAATAATATTGAAGAAGCTTATCATAATGATTTTGACAACATTTTATCTGAATTCATTTCAATCAAGATCTCTATTAAAGATCTCTAAAACAAAATAAATCAATATTATGTAGTAGTTCAAAGATCTAATTTGACAAACAAAGTGTATTCAATGAATCTGAAGCTAATCTGACCAATCAATCTGAAACTGATTTATAAAGCTTTTCAACTAATTTATTTTCAAGCTCTTCCAGTTCTTCTGATAAGATAAAAACAAAATAATTCTTGATAATTAATGCTTATATATTAGGAGTTTGATTTACATTTTTTGATTGCAAGCTCAAGTCAAAAATTTGCAAATATCATTTCTGTAATTTGAGAACAATTTATAGAGATCTTTGATAGGATTAAGGATGCGAATGATTACTCTTTAAATCAGATGTGTGGGTAGAGTTTCAGATGAGTCGAGTTAACTTACGAGTCAGATAAGCTAAGTTGAGTTCAAATCAAGTTGAGTTTATGTTTTTTTGACTCAATGATTTGCGAGTCAAGCCAAATTCGAGTCGAGTTAAATATTTAACACAACTTGATTTAAACTCAACTTGATTCAAGTTGACTCGAGTTGACTTGAATGATAAAAAAATCATTTAAGTCAAACGATAAGGAATCGTTTAACTTGAACGATAAAAAAATCATTCAAGAAGAACAATAAGGAATCATTTAACTTGAACGATAAAAAAATCGTTCAAGTCGAACAATAAGAAATCGTTTGACTTGAACAATAAAAAAATCATTCAAGAAGAACGATAAGGAATCGTTTGACTTGAACGACAAAAAAATCATTCAAGAAGAACGATAAGGAATCGTTTGACTTGAACGATAAAAAATCATTCAAGAAGAATGATAAGGAATCGTTCGACTTGAACAACAAAAAAATTGTTCAAGAAGAACAATGACCTGAATCGTTCAACTTGAATGATAAAAAATCATTCAAAAAGAATGATGACCTGAATCATTTGACTTGAATAATAAAAAAAATCGTTTAAAAAGAACAATAACCCAAATCATTCTTTTCATTTTTTATTATTATTTTTTTTTTCAAAATCAAATCGAGTTAAAATTGAGTTGAGTCAAAATGAGTTGAGTTTAAAATTTATATAATTCAAATCAAATCAAATTGAAAGATTTTATAAAATAAATTTGACTCGACTCAACTCAAAAAAAATGAGTCGAATAGAGTTGGTTTTTAAACTTGACTCGACTCGACTCATTTGGAACTCTATGTGTGGGGTTGTATTCGTTGATGTTCTTAGACTTAGGATGGGAGTAATTGGAAAAGATACGATAAAAGGATTTTACTGTGAGGAAAATTTAAATAGCAAAAACTTAGAAAAAATAGGTGCTTGGATAGATAATAGTCGTTTACATATCTACTGAATGACGGGAAAGGAACTGCTAATATATAGGTTAGGATTCAGCAGGCATTTATGCTTTATTCCTCCCTTGAAACAACCTTCTACTCTATTATTTTTTACTTCCATTTTTACTTAGCCGGCCAGCCATTTCTTATATTATTTTACAAAATAAATATAATAAAGATTTCATTTCAAATTTTTTTAAATGTATTTGTGTGTATTTTACAAGTGATATTAATACTTATTTGCTTTCATATTCTACATGTTTTACATATTACAGCTATAAATATTACATTACTTTCGTATTCTACTAACAGCAAAGTAAAATAAATGTTCATTTTTGTTATTTAAAAAAAATAACTCTTGCTCGTCTGATTCAATATAATTAATAAAAAAATTAATTGTTTCGGCGCTTTGAGAAAAGGATGGTGTTATGGATCTTGCATCACCTCAGCCATGGAGCTCATCATGCCCTATTTGTGATAGAAAACATGGGAATTATGGATTACATGGCGAATGGAACAGAATATTGTCTTGCTTCACTTCAAGCAATTTGCAATCATAGTATAAGCCAGTCATGTGAGATTGATCAACGCAGTATTGTGGCGCAATAAACGAAGATCTTTCTGTCAAGTGTCAAGTGGACGTTGCAACACAGTGTAACCGTGTAACCTTTATGAACAAGAATTCAGGAGTAGTACAATGATATACATAGTATAAAAACATAGAACCTGATACATTTAACACGTTTCGTCACGTATAACAACTTCAACTCAACGCGTTTTCAAGCCAAAAGAAAATTCAATGACATTAGATTTATCATACAAGCATGCTGGTATGTCAATCATCTAATTTTTCGTTTTGACTTGACGTGTTCTTATTATTATATTTTTACAGCAAATCAATACTTCGAGTCAACTCCCGCGAGTGAATGGACGTATCCCGGGTATCTCGAAAAAATGCAACCATACTTCAACAACCACTTCAAACTGAGTTCATTGAAATCGACATGGAAGAAACGATTTAACGAACATTTGAGAGAAATCGAAAGAGATCAAGTAGGTGAGAAATGCACTTTTGCGTCAGATCTTCTTAATCAGGTCAGTAAAACTTGAAGACCTTATAAAAGCAAAATCAAATGGTAGGGATCGTTGCTAGCAAAATATTATCGCTAGTCTGTATAATTGTACCACACGGGGAGCAGGTGACGCCCTGTTAACTCCTGGAGTAGGTGACGTCCTCGGTGCAATGTACAAGAGTGCTTCTACTATACAAGTTGTACCACACGGGAGCAGGTGACGCCCTGTTAACTTCCGGAGTTAGGTGACGTCCTCGGTGCAATGTATAGCAGGGCTCCAATGATCCTTATAACATTACAATAAACGATAAAGTATTCATTTTTTATTTATATTCTTTAGAAGGGTTTAAAAGCTACCGAACTCTGGAATCAGTTTGAGAAGAAAAGAGCACTACAGCATCAGCAGGTATATAATAAAAGTGGACATGTTTCAATTAATGGATTCATCTAATAATGTCATATGTTGTTAAATAGCATAACTCAAACATTGATATACAATTAAGTACGTTGAAAGTGATGAGCACTTCTACCTGTCAGGAAGGTGAATTGGCCGGACAGATGGTAGCTTCGAGTATCAGTGGCAAGAAAAATGTTAAACACAATAAAAATGCGGTAAGGAGTGTTGAAGGATGTGTCAAGTATTGTTAATGTCCAATATTTGTAAAGTAAGTAATAACATACATTTTCCATTTTATAGAAACGTCAAAGCGATGAATATCCCTAGAGAGAAAAGCAAAAATCACGTAAAACTAGCATTGAAAATTCTCATCAAGCGGAATCTTCTAATTGTTCTTATAGGCTGAATAATGTGCTGAATGTTCAAGAAAGCTTCGATGAGAACGATGAGGAAGAAGTTATTCAAAATGCCGAAGTAAGTAATTATGTAACAATACATTCTAAACGAAAATGTATTTATAGCCCTTTTTCATCGTACAGGTAATAACAGACTTCTTGGGAAACGATATTGAATGTTCGGAGGCATCGAAAAAACTTTGTTCGGCATATATGGAACAGTATCCCGATGGAGACTTGATTGACCTCCGTTCATGTTCATCCTTCCTCAGAAATATTCCAAGATCGATAACCGAACAATTAATTCCCGATAATGTGCACAATTTCCTGGTGCAGTTTTTTTCACAAACTATTTCGGATACAGAGTGGCAAGGTAAGGTTGACGACCTACGATCTCCAGAAGAGAAAGACCCTCTAATGGTTGCAGTAGTCCGAATTTTACGTCGGACATTACCACAATTGTATGTAGTTATATTGATTCACTTTTTCGATTATGTCCTAACCATTTTTTCTCTCGAATAGTAATATTAATTTATATAATAGATTATTAATATAAAAATTAAATAATAAAAGTTTTATATATAAATAAATATAAAACTTAAAAATAATTTATCTTAAAAATTTAAAATTTAATATAATAAATATAAATAAATAAATTATTTAAACTAATAAATATTAATTATTGATTAAATAATTATTCAATTATAAATAAAACTTTATAATAAATTAAAAAATTTTTAGAATTTTTTTAAATAAATAATATTTTTTTTTTTTTAAAGTGCGGTAGTTTCGCAATATCTTTATTATGAAAGTAAATTAAAAGTAAAGTACAAATCAAAAGAAATTACAAAAATCTCGTAAAGAACTAATCTAAAATTAAAACTAAAGAAGACCGACCCTGCACTTCCCCAAAATCATTTTATAACCTAAGCTAGAAAAATCATGTTTCGAGTAGATATACGTAAGAAAGTGAAGAGGGTGAGGCCACTACTGCACCAAAAATTTGACCAATGAGATCCCATCCTTACCATTGAATATATTGGAGGAGAGCTAAAAGAATGAGTGGGGGGGTTAGAGGATAAATCATAACCTGATGTGACGAAATTGGCAGTCTTGGAAACAAGGGTAATGTTGGAAGATTTTTCAAAATCGTGCACAAGTTGACAACGGTCGCGCCAAACATTTTGTGTAAGTTCAAAGATCAGATGCATGAAGGAAGAACAAGCAGCTAAAGCCAAACTTTGGGATGAAAGTTTCTTTAAAAAGAAATTAAAAAGGGGTACTGGAACAATTCCTCTAATAAGAGCAAAAAATTCAGAAGTATTGTAAGTGTCAAGCAACCATACGTTCAACTGCTCAATTTCATA